TGAGTGAGGCGATAGCATTGATTGATAGGCTCCAACAAACGAACAAGACAAGTCCAGTCGGACTAGTTTGAGTAGCCCGAGTCATTCCAGTTGAGGCTGCCTTCATCACTTGACAGTTCATCTTCCGCGGGCCTCTCTGACTACAGCAACGTCAGTGGCTTTACAGCCCCCATCATGGTCGATTTGCAGAGAGTTTTCGCTTGTCTTGCAGTTGAATCCGGCACCACTCCAGATCGGAAGTACCTGGCCAAGATTGCAAGTGGGAAGAACCAGTTCTCCTCCAAAATCACTTTGGCTATGTCATCACAAGGGTCATGGAGGCAGGTCACGAGTTGATTGTGAAAGGCGAAGGGATAGGCTGAGGTGTATGAGAGGCTACAACATTGTTTTGCCAAACTGGACAAGTTTCCAGGTTCAGTCATCAATATATGGCCGTCCCTTCATTGATATTAAGATGTTGAATTCAGAACTACAGTAGATTGAACTGATTGAACTAGTTGAACTTCGAACTAGTATTCAAGACTCACTCAGTTTGAACAAGCAGGCAGGTAGTTGTGCAATACTTGCTCAGGTGTTCAATGTTGAGACTTGCTCAGCTTAGACTTTGGAGTGTACCATACATTGGTTCATTCAACCACTCAATGAATTAAGATTTGCTTTGTCAGAGTTACAGTATCGTTCATCCAGGAAGCCCTGTCAGTCATGAGTCCATGTACTGCCGAGTCATGAGTCATCTCATAAATGCATGACAAGTCATGACTTTGCAGAATTTGACAAGACTTTATTGTACTGTACAGACTGTACTGCTTTACTTATGACTTATGATTTGATGACTCATGACTCATGACTCTGACTGAAAAACAACGGAGTTCCACGATCAGAGTTTCCTGCCGCGTTTTAGTCACGCAACCACTCATTCGGCGACCCAGGCAATTGTGGAATCAGGTGCTTTCCAACTACCGCGAAGTGGCAGCAACGGCTTTGACAGTGAAGGCCGGGACAAATGCTTTGGACATGGTCAGGAAGGTACTCAGCTGGGATCCTGCTAGCCTGCAGTCAGCATCCGTGGATGACTTGAGGGCGCACCACACCCATGTCATGAGTCTGTCAACCATGAAGGAGACAATCCGGCAGCTTGGTTGTGGCAAGGATGTGCCAGGAGCACAGGAAGGGCATGACAGCCTGGAAAGTGGCCGCTTGCAGTTGCTGGAGTTTGCCACCAAGCTATGCCCGAACTTTGACGAGATGGTGGCAGAGCTCCGTTCATGGGCCGACTCGCAAGCTCCAATTGACTTGGCCACGGCTGATGTCGCAACTACAGCAAACGCATGCCCCCGTGAGGCCTTGCAGCTGCCAGAGAGATTCGACCGTGGCAAAGCTGGTGGCTTCTTGTTTCGCTGCCACTTGACTGTCCAAAGTCCCATCCAGTGTGTGATCCGGTCTGGCCACACTTGTCCCAACCAACCACCCCTTCAGGGTTCGTGCTATTCCCACTGAACGTATAGCAGCCGGTCACTGATTCCCACATTGAAATTTTGCTGTACATTCGCACAGCGCACACATCACACACCACTCATTTGGTCACTTGTTTACTCCAAAATATTGTTGGTTGTCGTCGTCGTCATAGTTAATAGTTAGCTATTGATTGGTTACTTGTTCATGATTCAGATTCAAATCATTTCCGTGTTGATTGCTTTAGGCTTTCTGATCCCTGATTCAAGTTGTCAAGGTTTGGCTAAGAAGCTCAGGCTGAGGTTCAAACACTTTCCTTCAGAAGTAGACCATTGTCCAACCTCCCACTGTTCTTTCAGGCCACCTTTCAGAACAACGGACAAATTGTGTGACATTATGTGATGATATGTTATATATTTATAGTTTAGTTATGTGTTATGTGATGTGACATGTGACATGTGACATGTGTTCCAATTTTGTTGACTTCACATTACATTACAGTTACATTATCAATCAAAACATTTCCCCAGCGCTAGAAAATTAATTTAGGTCCCCTACTCAGTCCAGAATTAAATTTCTGGAATTAATTTGATATAACTTTACATTCGCTGCTGGAGGGGGGGCATTTCAGGAGGTCAAAAATTAATTAACATGAGAGGATGTAAATCTGTGAGATCAGAATGCATGAGATGTGCTAGAAAACAGGGTCAATAAAACAACTAGTCATTTAGACCTGACACACCTGTCAATTATATAATTTTCTGCATTTGCGTGCTCAAATAGAAATGAGGAAGACGTTCAAAGATTATGAGGTAAAGAGAGAATGCATGATTGGGGGGTGGGTCAGTTGTCAACAGGTCCTTGATTTGTGGCTGCTCTTTGTTTGTGCGTTTTTCTGGCAGAGATTTACAAGGCACAAAAATTAATCCAAGGTACCTCAATTAATTAACCGGTTCGCCCCCCCCTCAGGATTGATTAGGCACACATAGCCAATTAATTTTTAACATATTTTCCTTCAAAATTAATCAGCACCCGTTACAAGGGGTCAATTAATTAGCCTACCCCCCCTTGATTAATTAATTAACCAATTGGGCAGGGCCCTCAGGGGGGGGCCTGCCTAAGGCAGGGGCTATATCAAAACATTACTTGTAACATTCATGTAATTAGTAATTATACTGTTGTTACTGTTACTGTTACTGTTACTTCGAGCTTGTAACTTGTAACTTGTAACGACTACCTACGTGCTTGTAAATTTGCTGTTAACTAACTACACAGCCGCAGCCACATTAACTTACAACTCAGTTCAACTCCATTCCATATCCATTCCATAATCCACAATTCCATGTGTTCCAGTTGGTCCTGTTGTGTTTTGCGAGGGAGTGTCCCACTGTCCCACTAGAAAGCATTGAACTGAGCTTTTGCCAGCGTTGGCATTGGTAGTCTTTATGAGTCGACTTCCTTGAGCTCGGACCTGAATGCCCAAGGTTGGATTCAGAGTGTGGCTAGCAATGAAGCTGGCACTTCGATCCTCGATGCAGGCTTGGCAAAGTTGGTCTCGTTCTTCTTGGAGGGGAGCGTCAAGGCTGATTCTGCCACCACTCAGGTTCCCCCAGAGATCATGATGGTGCAGAACTATCTCTTGCAGTTGAGCCCAGCTTTCTTCGATGTCGTGGCGCCTGCAGTGGAGACTGGGGCTGCAGTGGCATTCGCAGCAGTTCGTAACATGTTGAACAGGTTGAAGGAAGTGGCTGCAGCAAGGCTCCTGCAGGAAATGGCCAAATCTCCAAATGCAACATGGGAAATTGACCAGCTATCACTTCCGAAAGGTGTCAAAGAGCTTGGCCATGCCATCATGAAATGGCACACAGTTCATGACGAGCTGAAGGCTTTGGGAGACATGGAACATGATTGGACGTTCTTGATCTCCAAGCTCCCGTTCTTTGAGTCGCTTTCACTTGCACATGCCAGTGAGACGCTGCAGGACCCCATGTTTGACGAGCTTCAAGGGCCAATTGTGCGAACCTTCCTGGAGGCCACTGAGGACACATTGAAGAATCTTGGGGCAAGCATCATGGAGGACGTGGACCGCTTCATGACCAAGTACAAGCCAGTTTCTGACTGCGCAGAAACATGGCAAATGCAGCCCGTCCAGCACTTGTTTGACCCTGAGGAGCATGAGCACATCCAGGTAGAGGTGAACGACTTGGTGACTAGCCTGGACAATTTGAAGAAGATTTGTGACTCCATGAAGGGATTCGTCAACCATTCCTCGACCAACGAGAAGCTGAAGTCTGTGATTGGTGAGGCCAGCAAATTCATGAAGGCAGCATTGGCCAAGGTCAAGGCTGTCGGCAAGGTCGCGACAGTGATGTTGACCTCCGCTGTCATTCTACTTGCTGGTAAAGATCCTGCCCCTGACTCCATGGAGGAGACCCTGGATATGTGCCAGAAAGAGTTTGGCCTCTCCAAGGATGATCTACCTCCAAAGCTTCGCAAGCTCATCAATGACTGCATGGGAGGCGAGTCTAGCAGTCACAAGGCCAAGAAGCGGCCGGGCAAGGACAATAGTGAGAAGCCACCCAAGAAGGCACGAGCTGCAAAGGATGACAAGGAGAAGCCGGGGAAGAAGGCCAAGAAGACTTCAAAATGAGGTGGCATTTTCCATTTTGGGTCTGAGTCTGACAGGAAGACTGGACTTAGATGAGTGCTGTGGGATGATGGAAGTGCAACTGGGATAAAAGCAGTGCACACTCAGATGAACTATGATTCTATGATGAATGATAAAGCAAAACATAGCAAAAGGAAACAACACTAATATTGACACTGACGCTAAATAGTTTTTTGTTTAAGGACGCCGAGCTATAATTTATCTGCAGAGTTGAGTAGAGACAGTGTGACACTGTGTGACTGTAACTCGATGTCAATGACTAGTGACTAGTGCTGTGCATTGCTCCCCGGTTGCAAAACCAACGCAGTTTGCCAGTTGCTGCAAAAAGTTGTGTGTCAGAGTGGATGTGCCATTGGATTCGTGGATCAGTGATATCATTCTGTACATACAGGCGGGAGATACTCAATATGTGGCAGTATGTGACATGGCATAGTTACATAAGTTGTTACATGCCCCAGGTCCCCCCCCAAGCTCCATTTACATAGACAGCGGGCATGCCAGTAAGCAGCCCACAGACAAAGAGGCCAGGCTTCGCTTTAATATATAATATGTATTTGATGGATTTTGATAGTTCGTGCTTCTTTATATAATTAGAGTTTCTATTTTGCGGGGACTCAGTGAGTGCAGGTACACTGTACATCCCAACCCTCCAATAGACGGTCCTTTTGGATTTCTTCGATCATGGTGCCGAGGAACCATATTCGGGCGCTTGAAGTGAGAGAACATCCGCTTTTTGGAGCTTTGTTTTGGTTTGGTTGGTTTTCTGGTGCGCCAAAAGCGTTTCAGTTCATTCCACCCTGAGCGGCTCGACGTCGACTTCACCTGTGAATGCCTCGCATCTTCGCGGCCATCCTCGCATGTCCGCCACCCTCAGCGGCAGGCTCCACCCGAGGAATTGGATTTGGAGCAGGCGACTGGGACTAGAGCAGGTACAGGATCTCTCAAGTTGGATAGGGGCGATAGTCCTTCACCAAGCACAGGGCGAGAATTGCTTATCCCACACGCTATAAAAAGAACATAACAGATCGTAGATGGTTTGTAGAGCTCACCCCAATGCTTGAAATGACCACTGAACCGCCCTTGCGTAAGCCTTTCGTGGAGGAGGATGAACCTTCGCATAGGCTTTTGGTCATTCTTACTTGCTGGTGTCCATGGCCCCTCCATGTACAGAAGATGTTTTGGATGTTGCTTTGAGGTGTGCGCCCTTTGTAGGCAAGCTTCAATCACACCTATTGCCGCTCCTTGACAGTGTGACAGCCAGTCCGAAAAGCGATATGCCCAAACTATGCAGGAAAATTATGAGGCACCTAGTGGCACCCACCATCACTCCATCACTGGTCTATGCGGGCCGGATGTGGCACAAACGATGCTTCTGGTGGTTCTTGAACTTTGACTTTGGCAACACACCCCCATTCAATTGTTTCAAGTGTTTCCTGCTATAGGCCTTCATCCCTTCACGTCACTGTTGCAGCTCCGCAACGCCCTTCTTTGGGCGCTTCCTACGTCAGGAGATTGCGCAGCTGGACACACCCCTCCGCCCGCGGGACGGCGTGCAGCAGGTCCGCCAGGCCGCCGAACGAGTGGCCAAGGGCCACGACGGCGCGGATCGCACAGCAGTTAGGACGGCGGAGAGTGTCGCTGTGAGGCATCGAAGAGGGGCGAAGAGGGGAACAGCCAATGGAAGGAGAAGCGATGATGGGCGTGATTAAGCCGATGATGATCCATTCTTTCGTTTACGCCTTCTTGACTTGGATGCAGAGGTTGAGCGAAGGGCTGATGGGGTCCTGATGGGGTTTCGCATGTATTGATCACCCGTGGGGTCCATGGGGACCACCTCTTGTCTTGCAGTCGCACATGTTTGTTGATGACGTGGGGTCCTCCCCAACTGGGAGCATCGCAACATGCCAGGTGTTTCTTCAGCTGGTTGGGTCTGTTGGGTACATGTGTGAGTTCCCTGGAAGGGAATGGTCAAACTGAGGCTACTTGAGACCACCAAAGCGGGTGTTCTCTTGCTCCCATTTGGCACCTGTTTGGGACTCTCAGGTCCTGTGGGCGCCGGGCGAAGCGATGGCCAAGTTGTGGGACACCATGAAGACCCTTGAGGGCTCGGCTGAAAATCGAGAGGTCAAGCTCGAGGAGCTGAGATTTGGCGTCCGCGTCCGTTGAAACAGAAGGAGGTGGCGGAAAACCGGATGTATGTATTTTTGTTTTGTGGCTAGAAGGGGGCATGAAGGGTGGTTGAATACGTAGAGGTTGGAAAGACTCCCCCTCAGTGATACATATATAATATACTGTGTCTATATAATTTCTTATAATATATAGTTTGTGGTTTCTTACAAATCCATGCCGTCTCCCCTTCAGCAGCACAGACTTTAGAAAATTTGACTCGATAGGTCAGGTTTCACAGGCCATCCATGTTTATAGATCCACTATAATACAATATATATATATACACATGTTTTATATGATAGTTTATTTATAGGTATACATAAGTTATCACATAGTTACATACACATAATTAATACATGTTCATTGACTCATTGACTATAGATCATTGTTTATAACTACTTAAAGGAATCAATGATTTGTTTATCTTTAATCCAGCCTTGGGGTCAACGTCGGTGCCGGCCTCATCCTCAAAGGCGGTTCTGGTATGGACCGATGTAAATATACCACCTAGACAAGGGAACAGATTGAAGAATGTCCAGCTTACCTCTTCCCCAAAGTACATCAAACCAGGGGATCAAGTTCAGTCAGTTTGAAGAGCCAAGATGGAAACCATACTTTTCAGATGACACCCCTAAACCAAGAAGAATGCTTTTATGTTTTGTTTAAGCTGTTATTTAAAAAAACAAATCTTAGCACCCTATGGAGCTTCAAGACTTTCGTGTGTGCTGACGGATGCTTTTGGGAAGAACTGAGCCACCAAGTGAAGAAGCCACGTGAACGTCGCTTCTTCTTGCGACGCGTCGTAGCTGGCGTTCGTAGCTACCGCCAGGAGCTGAAGTCGCAGCGGGATGCCGCCCAGGACGAACTCCGCGAGATCGTGGCTTGGCTTGGCTTCGTGGAGGAACATCGGTTGGAATCGCCATGCCGTCCACTTCATGTTGGGTCTTAATTAGCAAAACACACCCCCTAGCAAACAATCCAGGGGGTCTGAAGAGTTTCACCGCCACAAAAACGATTAGTAGTAGTAGTAGTAGTAGTCGTCGTAGTCGTAGTCGTAGTCGTGGTGGTGGTGGTAGTAGTGGTAGTGGTAGTGGTAGTGGCAGTGAAAGTGGTAGTAGTAGAAGTAGTAGTATAGTATAGTAGTAATGATAAAGTTAGCTTTTTCTTTAGGCCTCCAAGTTTGCTGATTAATCCAACCCGCTAAACAATTCATACTATTCAATTACCCTGGGCTTGTGTGCTACCCGCTTGAAAAGTTGTTTGCAGCAATGAAATCGATGAGTTTTAAAAGTTTTAAACATGGTTTTTGATAAAGGTTTCCAGGTCAGAGTTCTATGCATCTGGTGGTGGTGGTGGTGGTGGTGGTGGTGGTGGTGGCGGTCTAATTAAATCAATACAGAAAACACACCTCAAAAAACACCCTGGGCGAAAATGGTTTTCTTATTCCGACCCATTAAACTAATCATTGTGTGTGAATAGTTTGGCATTTTTTTATTATTCTGTCCCATTTGACTAATTTTGATCTAACATTAACCACGATTGATGGTTGGAAACAGGGTATATCTTGAACAATTCCTGCAATTGGAGGGGTGATTCACATGAAGTGAGGGTACGCATGCTGGTGATTGCCAAATCTGAGAAGTGTGAACTCGTGACAGGGGTCCAAACTGGACGCACCCAGTTTCCCTACTGGATCTTACGGGTGTATAGTGAGGGTTTGTTTCTTCCTTGTTCCAAGCATTCTTAACAATTTTATTCTTTCCAGAACGCCTAGAGAAGTGCTTTCCAGCTTGGAGCGGTATTGTGTTACGTACCTAATGCCTATATGTGCCAACGCACAAAAGTCGAGCATGCTTATACTGTCATTATACCCCATGTATGGAATAGTGTTCAAGAATAAACACGTGTAATTAATGTAGAATTGACGAATAAAACCTTCACCGTATGGATTGTAAATCTATGTAACTCGTCTTCCAGTCCCATGAATGGTCTGAGTACGGAAAGACGTTGGATGGGCCCTTTGCGCATTGGGAACGGCCATGGACGTGAGATCCATGGCCGTTGGACACGACCGATGGAGCTGGGCATATGTCATTGTGTTTGCGTTTCAGGAGTAGCCAGTCCCATGGAGTGTCAGGGAAATGGATAGCTAAGACAAGCCACTTGTGATACGTTCACACTATTTCACACTTGCTGTACTTGTTTGATGGCCATGGTGCACTATGTGCACTGTTGGGGTGGGAGGCCACACGACCACCTTCCAATCAGCTGGCCAAAAACTTTGTCCAGTAGAGAACTGAATCACTTCTGTTGCCGCTGAGGAGCGGCAAGACAAGCAGATCTCTCGCTCCTTACGCTGTGTTCGCGAGCCTCTCGGCGGGTGACGGTGTGGTCAGGGGATCCAATGGCTTTCGAGAAAGATGATGTGAAGATACGGCAAGACCGTTAAGAGTAGTCCTTTTCTTCCGTACCTGAAGCACCGGTAAGACTACTCAATGGGTTCCGATTCTTGCTCTTTTTTGGGGGCCTTATGGTGCTGCAGAGGTGGCTGTTCTGAAACACCATGTTACCATGTTTCTTGATCCTGAGTCGATTCCGCAGCTGTCACGACCTACAGTCGAGTTTCCGAGTCGGAAAAGAGCATGTCGTACACCAAGAGAGAAGAAAACAAGGTACACAGCTGGAAACAAAGCTGACGAACACTTGCACCGAAAGCGGCTGGATCCATGATCATGTGTACGTCCTTTTTCTATAATATATTTTTCTACTTTTGCTTGTTGAGGTCTTCACAGTAATCCGGCTCCGGCACTGATCATTGTTCCAGATGGCACCGGCTCCTTTCTGGTCAGGTTGGAGGAGATCGCATGGAGCCTCGGTGGCTTGTGACTTGGCAGAGAGGTTTGAATCCAAGGTGCATGTTATACCTCCAGGAACTAGAATACTGAACGTCCTGCGCAGCCAATTCTGAAACATATGGTCAGACAAGGGCAGGATGGATTGATGGTCAGATCAAGTATATATAATAAGAACTTTGGTTCTGAAACCCTTCAGAAGCCATGGGCTTTCGAAGTGACTACCAGCACTAGACTTGAGCTAAATGAGCAAGTACACAAGGCTTTGCAGGGCTTAGAGTAGTGAGTAAGCCCATCACAAATTGAAGGCTTCACACGTAGACATGACTTACTCACCCATTTTGTTGGAGTACGCTTGCATACTCGTTGGCCAAATGGAGGCTGGATGAGAAATCTGCCAAGTGTAAGCAGGCAGGCTGTGCGCGCCGTTGTGTGGTCCGGCATGTGTGACCTGGCCATTTGATGCCATTTCCTGTCCAATTCAGGTGATTGCCCTGTGTTGCATGGGGATTGAGCCACCATCAGACTTCAATCCATGGCGTCTTAGATTTACATTCCTTTGGTTTGGAAGGGGCATCCTGGGTGACCGGACTTCAGTTGCGCTTTTTCTGACGTTGAACAGCAGCTGCCCCGTGGGGCATGCTACTGTAGGCGGACCCAGACCTGTGAAGGTATGATATGGGTAGTCAATTGTGGTCAAGTTTCACTACACATCTTGGATTCACCTTAAACATGAATATAGGTTTGATTCACCATCCATATTCCAGGGTGTGGGATGGTTTGCAAAATGAATAGTAATATGATGGTTTCACCTTTGATGGTTTGAAGTTTGATTCATATGTGAGTTGACCATACCTGCCACGACATCCAGCCACACCAATCCAACTTGTGAAGTCGATCAGCGGCTGACCTAATGATGCCATGGGACACATGTAAAGAAACATGCACTGTTTGCTTGCCTGAAGTACGGTTGACTTTCTCGTACAGTAAGGCATTATGTTTTATTTGCTGGTTAGCATTTCATTTCAGTTGTGCTATGTTCTTTTCTCTCTCCATGTGTGTTTTCCAGCTGGTCTCCCGCCACAATGCCGCGGCTTCGACCAGGCTATCACCATGCTCTCCCAGATCGAGGCCGACTTCGTGAAGCGTCGGAGCCAGCGGCGGATGAGAGACCTCAACGAAGAACCTCGGATGGATTTGTGCGCCAAGCATTTGCAAAAGCCGCTGACTATATAATATACAGTGTATATATATACATATATATATATAGTGTATAGACATGTATAGACCCTGCTGTGTTTTCAATTCCCTATATTTGTGCTCCTGGTGCGACCAGAGTGTTCACAGTGGTGCCTTACCTGTCCTAACAGGGGACATGCGTGCGGCCAGGAAGACAAGGGTGGTAGAAAAGGTTGTACAATCCAAATGGAGGGTTAGGAATCAAGAGCCTACATTAGTGAGTCCTACCGCGCGCGAATTGAGCGTTGTTGGTGCCAGGTGGTGCACAACTTGTTCCATGCCAGGTGGTGGGGTGATGTTTCGATGTTGCTCCGTCAGTTGTCATCCAAACACACGGGCACACACAAAGTATATAGAGAGAGATGTCCAGACTAAAGCATGCCAACACCCATTTTTGGTGTTGAGCCATCCATGTGTGAGCCGAGCTAAGGCATTGAAAGAAGTTGGCGCATCTTTAGCACATCCACCAGAGGAGGTGTTGTGGGAGCTGATTTTCTAGCTTTATTGGCAGGTCAAGCAGCAAACCGGCCAGCGTCACAGTCCGTCCTCTCTGAAAATCAATTGATTCCCTGATCCAAAACAAGATATCCTTGTGACCCCAGATCCTCCGAAGCATTGTTGCCTGAAGGATGAAGACAAAGAGGAGGCTGCTTGGCATCTACATTGGAGAAGGCCCTGCATGCACCTGCTTCAGACCCCCAGTGTGTTGGGATGCATTTGATCTCCACACGGCTTTCTCAGCACGGAGCGTCCTAAGGAGCCCGACGAGTCTGAGCAACGTGCTCGCCGCGAGCAGGCACTGCTCGCACGCCGCGCGCGCCGACAGGAACGGCGGAAGAGGCAAGGCTCGGAAACTCGCTCCCAGGAAGGCTGGGAAACTTCTGACGCTTGGCCAGGCATTGCTGAGCAGTTCTGGTTTGGATGGTTGGTTTGATTTTGAGATCTTCCACCTGTATTCTCACGAGGGGTTCATGCCCTGTATCAAGTTGTTTCTCGGGTGAATGTGGATAAGGAGCCCATGGGAACCCCTTGTATATGACGATTCTGGAGCGCGGAACCAAGTATCGAAAGGTCTTGGCATGCTGAGTCATGATGTCCTTTCTGGGTGAGGGGATTTCATGGGGGGGTTAGTCATGGGCCATGGGTTTGGATTGAGGATGATTGAGGGACATATATATATATATACACACATATTCAGCATGGGTGTTCCGGTTCGGCTCGGTGTACGGAAAAGTGTTGTTGAAACGGCAATGATTCTAAATCATAACGGTTATTGCTGAAACGATTATCATAGAATAACCCTTTCCATTTTCCCTACAGGAATTGTTGAAACGGCTAAAGGTTTTTTTGGGGGAGATGTTTTGATATGCCAATTCCAAGGATGTCAGCGATGAAGACGGCCACTCGTCCGAGATGGTCCATCCGTGTTTTTCGTCCGATTGCATCACTTCGGCGTAGGGGCACATAAATGGATATGAAATATTGTTTATGAACTAATATGAATATCGAATATGATGCGCAGTCGAGCGAGAAAGATTCACACCCCCAGTCAAGTTCAAGTGTTTTAGTGATTTCTTAGGTTCTTCACGCCAGGTTTGGTGAATAGATCTTAAATATGTTTAAGCAAAGATCGACACATGAAAACAAAAGAACACATTCCTTGGAGGCTCAAGATTGGACAAACCCATGTGTTTTCTGACGGATTGTCTTCAAACGCATTTTTGAGCCGGTTTGTTGTCCTGTTCTGGCATGGCAGAAGAGACTAACACAACCTTCTTTTTTTCGAGCAATGCTACGTGGAAGGTGGCCATTTTCAGCAGCGGATATTCACTTTCCTCTTCCACGATGTCCAACTGGGAGGCCCTTGATTTGGGACGCAACCAATTACACTCCCTGAAATGTCCCCTGAGATTCTTGCATGAAAGCCGGTGCACAGCATGAGGG